GTGTAAAATTCACACCTTCTCAGCATTCTACAAAAGGCGTTTTCTACCTATGACCTTTTTTAAAATGCTGCAAACTATTACAATCAACTTCTATTTCAGTTATGCACCATCTACTCAATCATCATACGGATCACAGTGAACTGCGGCGACTAGAACATTCCTTTTCAAGCAATCCAAAATTCTTGTTTATTTGCCATTCAATCAAATTCAAGCTCGGAAATCTTTACCCTAGCGTATTCGAGCTATATTCGTGTTCTATTGGAAAAACTACGTACTGGTTTGGGTTGAAACTTTATCAGCACGTGACAATGTAAGTTGTCAATTTTTTGAGCGGAATTGTGAGGAAAAAAGTACCTTGTATTAGGCCTCTTTGTTTCAGGTGTGATGTATTTTTGGTCTATGAAGGAGATTTCGACGCTGCTCAATACATGAATGCCTTCATTGAATTTGCTAATTCTAACAACATATTTCAACGTCAGATTCTGTTTGTGGGCGAAAACACGCTTGCAAATGAGGTACATAATTTACTTTATTTTTTATTTTTATATTTTTTTCAATTTTATAGAAATAGCTGATTGTTTTCATTTTTCAGAGCCAAGTTAGAAACTAATTTTTGAAAAGGACATGTCTAGAAATTTTCAAAAGTTTTTAGTACTTTGTATTTCTTCTCTTGTCGAAATAAATAATCTTTTTTAGGTAGAGAGATACGTGCAATCCAATAAACATGAATTTGTTGGCTTTCCACGTGAAACAAAGTTGTTCTATATGACAGATTCTCAGATGGAATCTATCACAAATCTTGAGTTCTCAACTGCTCTACCGACTGGCTATAAATTAGTTAAGTTACCCGCATGAGTATTACCATTTTGCCTTGGCTATAATTCTTGTTTCTAGGATCTGCAGATCCACTCAAAGAATCGGAAATCATTACTTCTTACTGGGAACATGCTAAAGAGGGAGACGTCGAAGAAACAAGGTTAAGCTTCCTTTGATTATTCGCGCAAGTAAAGTACA